CTTGAAGAATGGCTTGAGGACCACAAGATCTGGGAGATGGTATTCCACTCCACTTTGTTAAGGCAGCCGCTGATCCCAATCTCCCTGAGCAAGGCCATCTCATGGATGGCCTTCTGTTGCTCCACCAGCCTTTCCAGCATCAGGTATGTGGAGTTCCACTGAGTCTCCACATCCTGCATGATTTTGTGCTGCAGGATGCTCAGCTCTGCCTGTTTGTCCTGCAGCATCTTGCCCTCCTTGACGCTCTGGTGGAAGTAGCTTGCCACCTTACTGTATTTTGAAATCAGCTGGGTGGTAGTGACAGCACCATCACTGGCAACACTGTCCCTCTTCAAGGCATCCCTGATTATGAGGTGCAGCTTGTGTGCCACACAGTAGGTATCAACAAAGTTGGCATTATGGACAGCCTTGACCATATTGGTTCCAGTGTCATTGACCATGATCCGTGGGTGAGCTCACCCTGCCCAACGAGCCATCCCTTCACCATATGGTTCGTGGCCACCATGATCTTCCTTGCCATGTGGGACTCATCGATCACCTTGGCTTGAAGGAGAGCTCACTGATGGCCTGACTGATCACACCAGTGCCCTGTGAGGGAGAGGTAGGCATGATCTTCACCCCAGCTTCTCCATTTGTCTGAGCTGAAGCACGAGGCTACCTGAAGCCCTGCCTTGCGCAGTTCCTCCCTCAAGTACTCCCTGCATGCCTTATACAGGGAGGGCAGCACCATCCTGCTAAAGGTGCTGCGTGCGGGCACTTGGTAGGATGGGGCCATGAGCACCATGAGCCACCTGAACCCTGGCTACTACACTAAGGAAAAGGGCTGGCCATCCAGAGTAAGCATCTCCCCAATGCTCTGGGTGACCTCACTCGCCTTCAGAATGAGCCCCACTTTGTCTGCAGCTTTCCCCCACTGCTCCAGGGTGGCCTTCCTCCACTTCAGGGGGACAGGGGCTTTAGAGTGAGAGTGAGACTTCCCTTTGGGCATGCTCCCACTGGTGCTAGGCTGAGAAGGAACAAGGGCAAGGGGGTGCTGCTTCCTGCGATGCAGAAGCATTGCTGTGATGGTGAAGTTTTTCACCTCCTTGTACCAGCTGATTTGCCTTCAGCAGCGCTGGCAGATAGCATACTTGGGATCATCTACCACTTCAAAATGATCCCACACTACACCCTCCCCTCCACGACAGGGTTGAAGGTGGGGATCCTGCCTTATCCCCCTCCTCAGCAGGTAGAAGCACAACAACAGGGGAAGCTGAGCCACCTGCTCCCACAACCTTCTCTGAGGTGCCTTCTGGAGAAGGAGACCTGGCTCTAGAGCAGGGGCAGGCAATTATTTTGGGCAGAGGGCCACTGAGTTTTGGCAAGCCATCGAGGGCCGCATGATAGGCAGCCAGGGGCAGATAAATATTAATTTTCTGAATTTTTTTAGGGGCCCTGTGGGCCAGATAGAATGGCCTGGTGGTCCGCATCCAGCCCCCGGGCCACATTTTGCCCACCTCTGCTCTAGGGGAACTTAGAGGGGTGTGAAGCACAAACTCAGATTCCCCCTCAGTCCTCAGAATTTCTTTAGCTAGGGCATTCAGGTCCCCTGGTTCCAGATCCAGCTCTTCCTCTGTCACTGGGGGCTCACGCTGGGAGATGAAATTAGAGTGGAGGGAGACTTGTCATTCTGTTGCTGGTGGCTATTTCTGGTGTAAGGGGGTGGTGCAGGTGCAGGGACAGGTACTGCTCCCACTTCTTTGCTCCCACTGGCAACAGAAGACTCACGGCTGCCAGAAAAGAGGATGTGTCTATGTTTGGGGGAGGGTGGGGGGAACTTGCAGCTCTAGCTCTCCCCCTACCCTGCCTAGCCCCTCTCCCTCCCCTGCCAGAAGACCTGGCACCTGCCTTTCCAGCACGCTGCATATAAGTCTTTCCTGTGCTAGAAAATGTGTCTATGTGTGTTTGCAGCTATAATATCTCTTCTTCTTCTTCTCTGATGTATAACTGTGTCTGACTTCTTCTGTGTTGTGTTTAATAATCTGATTTCTTCTTCTATGATGTATGTGTGTGTGAGTGTGTAATGTATGTGCTTTCCTGCACAGTGATGGATCACAGTACCGGGGAAAACACAGCTTTCTTTTTTACAAGTGTTGGGGAGGGGCAAATATAAATTGAAAGAAATGGATTGGATAGGGATAAGTAGAGGGATTCTAGTTAGTAGGTTGTATCCAATCCTTTCCAAAAACAGAAACTAGCAGGAGACTGACTAAGTAGGAAGCCAAGCCAGTCCAGTACCTTTCAGGTGCTGTTGCTCAGGCAGAAACAGCTCACAAAAGGCACAGAAAGCCTTCAGACAGAGGCTTATATGCTGTTTCTACATCCCTCCCCCAGGGCACTGTGATTGGAAGAAGACTCAGGGAAAGATCACAGTCACTGGCCAGCTAGAGATGTCAGTCTTTCCCCCTGCTCCCCCTCCCTCTTCTCAGTTACTGTTTCCCTGAAAGACTGCCTTCCAAATCTCCAAATCTTTTCTGCATCTTTTCCAAATCAACTCAGAGGGCTTTTTTTTTTTTCTCTTGATTTGATTCAGATTTGGTGATTCGGCCCCCAAATCAGGCCAAATCTTCTCTGAATCAAATTGGCAACTGAAGCTTCACACACCTGTACTGCTCACCTCCTCCCCAAACTGTGCTGCCTGGTACAGTAGTCTGGGTGCTGAACTTGCCTATGAAGACTGAGGTGAAAAAGGCATTGAGTATTACTTCCTGTGTCACTAGGTTGCCTCCCCCATTCATTAAAGGACTCACACTTTCCCTGGTCATCCTGTTATTATTGATGTACTTGTAGAAACCCTTCTTGTTACCCTTCATATCCCTTGCTGGCTGCAACTCCAATTTGACTTTGGCCTTCCTGACTTCATCCTTGCATGCCTGAGCAATACTCTTCTACTCCTCCCTAGTTATTTGTCCAAGTTTCCACTTCTTATAAGCTTCCTTTTTGTGATTTAGTTTACTGAAGTGTTCCCTCCTAAGCCAAGCTGGTCTTCTTTGCTGCAATACAATGCCACTTAGCATGTCTTTTAGTGCCTGAATGTGAGAGGCTAGCAGTTTAAGTGCAGGTGTCATGTCCTAAGTGTAACATAAGACAACACCCCAAGTTTGTTTTTTTAAACACCTGTGCCGTCACTAAACCCTCCTCTCTCCTGTATTCCTCTGGTGTGCTAACCTTTCTGAATGTATATGTTAGATCTGGTACAGAAGTTTGATTCACCTGTCTAACCTAAATCAATTAAGTTTGGGTGCACATTGATCCAAGTCTATCTTATACTGGGTCCCACCATTTTAAAACCAGTCAGTGTGTGCCAAACTTCCGTTCCTTTACAGGTATATACAAATTTCTGATCATCTATACTAGTAAAAGTGTAATGTCTGTACCTGGCCTTAGAGATCTCTGCTGTGGCATTCTTTTTCAGCCCAGGTGTATCAATGCTAACAAGGGAAGGAGGATACTTTATTAAACCAGTTTCTCCTGACTACCTTAGCAACTATAGCTGTCAGCATCCATTGGTACAACAGATTATGCAGCAAGTGCTATTTGTGGTAGACTGATGAAATCAGTATGGATTCTTGTGACTGGGCATGCCAGGGTAGGGTTTTATTTTATGGTGGGGGAGAGGAGGAAAGAGGTTGGGGATAGAAGTTGATTGTATTTTCCTTAGTTCTGGAAATGAAGCCAGTATAAACAGGAGACCTTTCATACAGTATTCTTTTACATTATTCTCCATCACATTTGCTTTGTGCACTAACAATAGGAAAATTTCTGATATAGAACCTGCTAACTGACAAATACATGATCAAACAGTTCCCCAGGAGCTCCATAGCTCTCAAGTGAAAAGCTTTTAAGAGGTCAGACCAGTATTTTGAGTTGTGAATCATCTGACCCTCCTGAACCTAACAAAAAAACCCAAAAATGTTTGTTATATCTTAGCATCTGTATATTCTGCAAAGAGCAAGACACAGAATTGCCAGCTAGTCCACCTCTTAAGCTTTTTTCCAGAATGGAAGAAGGGGAAAATAAATTCAAGAATCTACTAATTTCAACAAATTTTAGTACATTCCTCACGTTTCTGCTAGATCCCATTATTAATGGAATTAATTTCCCTGATATGTGACACATCTAAAATATATTTTCCCTCTTTAGACATCCATGACATATCTTGTTTACATTTGGGCAGGGGGGAATCAGCCTCACACTCTTGGTGGCCTGAGAAACTCATTTTGGGGCTATCAAATCATAGAAAAGTAGGACTGGAAGGAACCACAAGCTCTAATCCAACCCCCTGCTCAAGGCAGGATCATCTCTTTTTAAACCATTCCAGACAAGGGACTTGTCTAACTTGCTCTTAAAAATTTCTAGAGGATGGATTCCGTAACCTATCTAGGCAATCTGTTCCAATGCTGAACCAAACCTTTAGTGAGAAAGTTCTTCCTAATACCAGAGATCTTGTTTTTTTCTATTTAAAAATTGCAAATTCTCTGATAAAAATTCCCAAATTCTTTTATTAAAACCCCCAAAATCCACATTTTTCCATGATTAAAATGTAATGCCACCATATAGGGAAACCAGTGCTCCTCTGAATGCCATGCAGAGCAGACTGACCAGCTGGCTTCTCTCCACCTGCATGCTGTTCCCTGCCAAGGAGTTGCTCTAGCATCTGCCTTTCCAGCACACCACAGGCTTCACCATAAGGCCCTTCACTGGAGCCAGAAATACCTCCATGGGCCTGCTTCCTGCCTACTGGGAAATCAAAGCTGCTCCAGAACCACCACGCCAGTCCTGGCTCACACCTTCTGTGCACTGTCTTGACTGAGGTAGGTAGCTGTGGCAGGGCACTGTTTATGCCTGCCACTTTAAGGGCCAGAAGACAGCAGCAGCAGGTGCCTGATTAGGGAAGCCATTTTGGATTCAGAGCTGCCCATATAAACAGGCCATTTTGGTACTGGGAGGCTAGGCAACAACACTGCCTGGCTGCAGGGCTGCTGGTATCAACTGGAGGTAAGGGAGGAGCTGTAGGGGATGGTCAGGAGGCTCCTGGTCCTGGATATGACCTAAAACTGCACCCTGCCAGGAGTGGGTGGCCTGGTGGGGCTCTCAGTGGTGTGGGAGCACCAAGGAAATGCTGGGCCAGTTACCACCCCGGTGAAAGGTGGGTCAGGGCACTTTAACCCCTAGCCCCCACAACCGGGTGGGTTACCCCCTTTTTAGGGTCTAGAAGGTGGACCCCAGAGAGAGAGAGCATGAAGCCATAAACTCAAGAACCTGTCTGAACATCCCCTGACTGGTCAATGCTAGAGCCAGGACCAGAAGGGTCAAAGGGCCAGGGGCCCACTGCAAGGAACGCCCAAGAGCTGAGGGCCTGGCATTCTGACTGGCCTGGAGGTGGGCCAGGGCTAGTAGTCAAAGGTCCTGGTGGGGGACCACACCTGTAAGGGGGAGCAGCTCAGGAAGCTATGCAGCCTGGAATGAAGGCAGAATAGGCTGCCTGAATGGAAGGATCTAAGTGGGGTTCAACTGGTAGGATTCTGGGGCCCAGTGCGTGGCCAGTGATATTGATAACATCTGGATGCCATCTGTGAGGCTTGGGCTGTGGTATAGGGGAGGAATAGAGCGCCCCCTGGCATCAGGGCAAGAAATGGGCAGCCTCCTACTTAATCAACATCAATTAATTAACAACAAGGCATGCTGGGTGAGAAGGTGGGCGGTTAGCCCAGAAAAGGTGGGCAGGCCACAATGAGATTGGCCCGGAGTAGGCCCCCTGTTACTGTAGGGAGTGTGAGTTATTCTTTCAGCTTTTTTCTCCCCTTTCCCACTTGCAGTCAAAGAATAATAGAATAATCTATCATGATCTTCTTTATAATCACCCTTCAGATACTTAAAGACTGTTATCAAATTCCTCCAGACAGGTCAGTCACATCATACGTGCATTTAACTTGCATGAATTCAACTATACACGGGGTGGGGGGGGCGGGGCTTGAGTCTGCACGCGGCACTGCCGCTTACCTGGAGGCCCAGCTACCACCACGCTGCCAGTGGTGACTACCTCTGCCTCCAAAACCTCCCACCGTCGCCATGGAGCCGTGCCCAGAGCTGTGTGGCTGGCTGCCAGGCGGCAGCAGCAGTGTGGTGGTGGACGGGTGGCATGCAGCCATCCCACTGCCACCCCGTGCTGTGCCACTGCCGCTGGCCGCACAGCTCTAAGCATGGCTCCACAGCGGCGGCGGGAGGTTTTGGAGGCAGAGGCAGTCACTGCTAGTCAAATCACTGGCACGGTAATACACGATTTGACTATACGCGATTTTTTGCCTTACGCGCTGACTTCAGAACATAACCCCTACATAAGATGTGACTGACCTGTAGGTTTCTATTCTCCAAACCACATAATCCCAGTTCTTCCAACCTGTTTTTGTAAATCATGTTTCCTAGATCTCAAATAATTTTTTGTTGATCTCCAGGCTTTCTAATTTGCCCACATTCTCCTTGAAGTACAGTGCCCAAAACTGAATGCAGTATTCCAGGTGAGGCCTAACCAGTACTGAACAAAGCAAACAAATTACTTCCCTTGACTTGCAAGCAACAGATCTGTCAATACTATTAACTACACTATGCTATTAGTCTGCCCTCCCCCCCATCTTTTTATTTTAATTTTGATGGAATAGCGCTCTGTAGATTCATATTCAGCTGATGGTCCACTGTAACCATCAGGTCCTTTTCTGCAATATTGCAGGCTAGCCAGTCATTCCCCAGCTTGAAGTTGTTCTATTCCAAGTACACTTATCTTTATGGAATTTCATTCAGTTACTTTCAGAACATTTTCCCAATTTTTCAAGGTTTTTCTGAATCCAATTCCTATCCCACAAAATCACTCCAAAGAAATGGGGCACTTCAGTCTTTCTCTGGTTGTTACAATCCTGAGCTATTCTCAAGTAACAGACAGAAATGCACAATCTCTTTCATTCTGCCAAGGAGTTCAGCAGGTTCTGCTGACTCACCAAGATAACTGTGTCATTAATTCAGTTGATAAAAGATGGGCAAGTGATGCTCTGAAAGGTTTCTAGGAGAGGAGCAAGTGGTTCAGAAGGAAACGGCCTGCAACCTTCCTCCTTTTGCAAGATTGCTGACAACATTTGTGGGCCAAAGGAGTCTGATCTGCAACCTTTATTCAAATTAACAACCCCAATGAGCAAGCACTACTTACATTTTCCTGTTTTAGGCCAGAAAGATTTATCTATAGCTTGGGCATGAGGCCCAGGGGTAGTCAGAACAAGGGTGATGCGCTGGTGCTGACTCAAAATGGATCAGTCTAAGCATGATTTACAGCAGCCCTCAAGATAAAGCTGCGCAGTTCAATGATTATTAAGAGCCATTTTAGCTGCTAAAGACCCCTGGGGGCCAGGGACAACCTTCAACACATTTTCTTTCCCAGCTATGTTCATAGGTCAGGAAGTGCTTAAAATGGTTCTACACCATCCAGACATTTCCCAATGCAAGTGGTTTACTAAGCTGGTATCAAAGCAGTACAGAACAGTTTCCACCCTTTAGTCTTCTCAAAGACTCAGAGCTATTCAGTTTCCCTGGCTTCAGCTGAATTTGAGAGATTTGTCATCATCTTTTATTCAAATATTTTTCTTAATATCTTCCAATTTTCAATACAGTTTTGTGTAATTACCATGTGGGATATGTTTGGCCTCAATACCTAAAGCTCTGTCTGGATTAGAGGTCTTATCCCAGTTGGATAATGCCTACAGATACCATCTATAACTTCAAACAGAGGCTTCTTTCTCACAGTATTCACATTTTAAATTTTGACTCAATTAATTTGGTAAATTGAATGAAAAACTCACTCTTATCTTAGTTTACTCCTATTTTAGATTTTATTAACTACCTTAATTGATGATCTCATGTCAGCCCTTCATACATCAGCAGTTGAAATATCTCCTCCAGTAGTATACTCACAGTAATAGAGAAAATAATGATCAGGTATTTCAGAGTAGCAGCCCACTCTTTTTTTTCTTATTTATTGACACTAAATAGACTGAGAGCAGTGGCCCAAGGTTAGCTAGTAACTGTGGCTGGTCTCCATTTAGTAGATGTTATTTGATATTCCTGAGATACCTAGGGAAACTTGAAGTTGCCTTCTTTTTTTATTAACCCCACTGACCATTAACCTTTGTATAACAATAGGATCAGTATCCTTTACATCCAATGTAATATTAGAATCACTTAGAAAGATCAAAACAAACTGTGCACTCCTATTGTAAACAGAATCACATTATGATGTTCAAACAGCTACTTAAAGAGTTTCTAACTGGGTTGAGAGCATTTAAGGAATTAAGTAGTGATTAGGTTCACTAGTTCCTCTATTTAACTCAAAGCCTATGTTACCACATGCACCAAAATATAGGATAACATAGCATGTTTGTATGTGTACATATACATGCCCAAGCACTCAACCAAACTTGCAAGTCTCTGGAGTGTGGAAGAAGGAAAAAAAAAAAAAAAAAAAAGAGCAGGTATTCAAACTGACTGACTGAATACCTTTACCACTTTAGATTTTTAAAAAGGTAATGTACTATCTGTAGCTATTTCACAGTGGGTAAGCTCTTGTTGGATCTTCAGTTAAATACTTTGTCTGGTGGGAGGAGATTTGGAAGAAAAATCTTTATGATAGAAGAAAAAACTGGCTTATATTTTTGAATTAGTACTAAATAAAACCATTCCACCTGCTGCTGTGATGTGGATGCAGATACAGGCTCTGGCAGATGTGACTGGGACACAAGGTCTCTATACCCTGGTTGTTGAACACACCCCCAGTGCAGGTTCCCAGAACTTGTCCCCACGCTCCCAGTGCCTGATACCAGCCCCTCCCCAGACCCACCAGGCCTTCCCTCTATGCCAAGTGATTTACCTTGGGCTGCCTGCACTGCTCCTGGCAGCAATGAACGCCTGCACACTGCTCCCAATTTAGGTGCCTTAACGTAAGCTGCCAAAACCTGAACTGGGAACTGTTGTGAATGCTTGTTCACACCCTACATCTCTGCCTGTCTGACACTGAGTCAGAGAGTCTGGGGGAGCTGTGTTAGTTCTCTCAGACACACACACCCTCCCGTTGCCCCAAAGAAGAGTGGAGACCCTCTTCCTTACCGCGGTAGCAAGAATCAAAGTAGGTGCAACCGTACCACCATGCCTGCCTTTGCTTCTGGATTCTAAAAAAAAATTGTTCTGGAACAATAAAAAATAAAAATAGAATACCTATGAAGGTAGTAAAATTAATTCCCTGGCCCACATAAAGTTCTTTTCTACAATGTGGGTTCTATGCAGCTTAAAAGGTCAAACCTTATATGAACATCCAGGGTCTGACAAATATATAATATTCAGGTTCTGTTCCCTGTTTTGGCATGGCTGTAGTACAGCAAAGCACTTAAAGCGAATAGTGTTATTCATACCTTTAAAGCTGGGCATTTGTTTAAATATCTTTCTGAATTAGGATCCATATACTTGAGTTCACGCATTTCAGTGAGTTACACATATGCCTCGGTGTGAGCGTGTGAGTGATCCTAGCTTCGTCTCCCTCTGTACTCGCCTGCCACAACTTGAATTGAAAGAAAATGAGGGAGATCAGTGGTCTTCCAAGGCTAGGGATCAATAAATGCCACCCTGATGGTACATTCTCATTGTTGGTTTATTTTCCCAAAATAAAGTAGCTGAAGAACAATAGCTTTGCTAATTACTTCATTAGCAAGGCACATCCGAGCTGCCGGTCAGATAACTCGGCACCAAATACTTCCCAGTTACAATGTAGCGCTGAACGTTCCAAGCACTGATTATCTCATTAATGAGGCACGTTCCCCGCATCTCTTACATCTGCCACGTATCAGGAGTGGTCTCGGCTGCTCCTCTGCTTCCCGTGCCACTGCTCTCGGCGATGTTGCAGATCTGGGGTCAGGATCTGGACTGGTATGGGATCCTCCTGCCCGCCCATCATCTCAGGGTCCCTA